AACATAAAAATTGGAAGGGGTCCCCTATCTAAGAACAAAGCAAAACATACATAACTCACTCATAAGGGTGACCCATCCACTTACATCCTCAACACAAAAAGAAGGGAGAAAACAAAACATTGTATATATATATATATATAAGTATATAAATAAATATTTACAAACTAACTCCCTATAAAGCTAAACAACTGAATTCCCCTTGTCAAGAAGAAACGTAATCTCAGCAAAAGGGCATAACAAATCATGTCCACACCCACAAGTCCAGCAATCATCTTTGCACTCTGAGATAAGGGATTTGAAGCTTGTCCCCCTGAGTTAGTAGCTGTAGGGAGGGGGAGAGAGTTGTGGACACTTCAGGATGATCAACATGAGCACCTTCTATAGCTAGATAATTAGCAGGTCTATTAGCTTCCCTAGACACAAAAGAGAAATGGATTTTACTTTCAGTACAAGCTTGTTGATTCTATGAATCCATTGGTTAATATGCCAAGAGGAGGACATCTTAGAATTTCGTAACTCCACCAGCAGGGAGGAGTCCACTTTAGCAAGAATCCACTGCCAATTGTTCTTTTTAGCAAAATTTAAAGCCCAGAAAAGTGCAGCAGCTTCAGTTTCCAAGGCATCATCAGCAATATAAGGGGCCATGTAAAACAGCAAAGTCTTCTCTTTATGATCTCATGATCTCTGAAAATTCCCCCAATTCCTGCTCTCTTGTTTGTGTAGCTTCCATCAGTGTTTATCCATCAGTTGCTCTCTTGTTTGTGTAGCTTCCATCAGTGTTTATTTTAATGAAAGGATAAGGAGGTCTCTCCCATTTTTGAATTGGGATTTTGAATTGGTTGGCACCCATGTATGTTGTGGTCTGCAGAATCCTGGGGAACTTCCTCCAGTGTATTAATTTGTTTAGGTAAGCCCAGCAGTTAGTCATTACCCAAGTAGCACTTGCCTCCCTATCCTCATGTTTGGCCATATTTCTAGCCATCCAAATAAACCAGGCCACAATGAAAAGAATTGGCTTGAGGTTTATGCCTTTCCAATCTTTAATGCAGTCAATAATGTTATCCCAGCCAATGTTAATCAGATTTATGTTCATTTGGGAAGTTAGTTTACTCCAAACCTCCTTGGTAAAGTTACACCTGAAGAAATGGTGATCCCTTGTGTTCAGATCTAGCTTACATAAATAGCATCTTGAAGGGCCTTTCAAGCCTTTTAGTTTCAGGATATCATCAGTTGCCATAAGGTTGTTGATAACTCTCCAAGAGAAAAACAACATAGAGGGGGTGAGATGTTTCCTCAGACCAACAATTACCATCCCAACTGTCTTTAACCAATAAATCCCCCTCCTTTTCATCCTGCAGAGGTACCACGAAGAGTAGAGGTTCTCTTATCAATAACCTCATCAAATTGGATCAGCTTTGTTCTTCCAATAGTGAGATGAATCCCCAAATATTTAAAAGGGATGCTCAGACTAGAGAACCCAGTGTAAGAATGCATCCATTGCTTGATTGGTAGAGAGGCGTTTTTGCTAATCAGAATCTCACATTTTTCCTTGTTGACCTTTAGCCCAGACACCTGTTGGAACTGTTGCAGACATCCCATAATGTACTTTGTAGAAGGCTTAGAGGCCCTAGTGAACAACAGAATGTCATCAGCATAGATCAAATGGCTGATGTCCATCCCAGCTTTATTATGATAAGAGTTAAAGGTTTTCCTCTTCCCCTTGCAGTCCATCAGTCTAGAAAAGTAGTCCAACACCAGTATGAAAATGAGTTTGTGTTGTCCTCTGGTGGCTTTAAAGAAACCATGAGATTTCCCAATTATAAAAACTGAGTTTGTGTTGTCCTCCAGCCATCTTTTAATCATCTTGCAGCAATCCCTGTAAAAGCCCCTAGCCTCCAAACAGTCAATGATGAAGTCCCAGTTAACCATGTCATAAGCTATCATTAGATCAAGCTTAAAGATTGCATTACCCCCTCTGCAAGGTTTCTCCAAATCCTGCAGAAGTTCTTGAGCCAGAAGGATGTTATCCTCAATACTTCTACCGTTAACAAAAGCAGCTTGGTTAATGCTGATAAGTCTCTCATTAGCCTCAAGGAGAACAGCCTCATCAATCCTTCCTTTTCTATGCTCCTCCTCCAGCTCAGTTACCTCCTTTTCAGCCTTATCAACAATCTGTAGGAGGTCTCCAAAGGTATTCCAGCTCCACAGTTTAAGGGATTTAGGAACCCTCTTCTGATTAAGCCAAAGGTTGATAAATGGGTCAGAGTGAAAGTATTTCTTCCACTGACCTTTAATAATATTCAAGAATGTTAAATGCTGAGATCAAACATTCAAGTATCTGAAGGAGCTTTTCTGGTTAGCCATCTTATTCCCAATAGTAATCAGTAACAGTAATCAGTAAAGGTCTGTGATCAGACCCAGTAAGGCTTAAATGGCTAACAAATGTCTGCAAGAACTGTTGGATCCAGTTGTCATTGGCCGAAACTCTATCCAGCCTTTCCCACAGCTCCTTCCTTCTCCAAGTAAAGGTAGGACCACAGAAACCTAGGTCAAATAATCCAATTTTTTGGATGTTGTCATTGAAGAAAGATATATTAATGGGGTTGGGAGGTCTGCCCCCCTTCCTTTCAGCAGGAGAGGATATGCAATTGAAGTCTCCTCCCACAAGCCAAGCCTTTTCAATTGATCCTTGGATGAGCTGCAAGGATTCCCATAGATCAATTCTAGCAACTTTAGAGCTTCCTGCATAGACAAAAGAAGCAAACACCTCCATACCCACAAAGCTGAGATTCATATGTAATATTTGAGTATAATTAAGTAAGATAGAGCACTTCATTTCTTTCCTACAGAAAACCCAAATTTTGTTGTTGATATTAGTGAACATATTGAAGTCAGGGAAGGCTTTGGCAATTTTCAAAGTGTTGAGATGAACGATAGGTTCCAAAATGGCTATGCACCAAAAATTGTGTTTTTTATTTAGATATTTGAGTTTTTTTAAGGATAAGGGGTGAGCAATCCCCCTTATGTTCGAACACAGCAAGTTGATCATGGCTCATGGGGAAGGGGGAGAAGATTAAGTTTGGGACCTGGACCTAGTCCTCCCTCTATGTTTGTTTGAACCCATTCTTATCTGATTAGCATTGACCTCCAAACCCTGAAGCTCCTTTCCTTTCCCAAGGTCTTGTCCTTCTTCTTTATAGTTCTTTTTCTTCTTAGTTTTCTAGATTTACCACTCTCACTCCAGCTCTTTGTTCATGTCTTCTACTAGTTTCTGACAAGGGGGTTCCACCACTGGATCCACCACTGGGTCCACCACATTTCTAGGAGGAGGGGAGGTAAACACTTCCCCCACTGACTCAGCCTCTGGATGGATCTCTATTTCCTTATCCTTTGTAGTTATTTGGCCAACTGCTTTGCTGCCACCTCTCTCTGTCTTCTCCACACAGTGAGAGTCCATTTGAGTGGGGGGCTTCTCATTCCCTTCCGCATACACTGTCTTCTTTTGCACTTCTATATTCCCAGTTTCCTGGATTTTGTTAGCGACACTCCAACTCCTTCTGAGGTTGGTGGTGAGTTCTTCTAATGGGAGGTTTCAATCCGTAGCATCTCTCCCTATTATGTCCAAACATTTTGTAATGTTGGCAGTAGTGAGGCCTTTGCTCCATGATGACTTCTTGCCAAAAACCTCTCTGAGTGTCCCCAATTCATATTCTCTTAACATCAAGGAGAGTCACATCTCTTTCCACTAAGATTCTTGCACTGGCTGGTCTTGCCTTATTAAAAGTAGCAGCATCAACCTTCAAAGGTGTACCCAAGGTGCACCTTATATTGAATAAAGCAATCATTTTAAATAAATGCAAAGGCAGCTTAGGTAGCTTAAACCAAATAGGCACTGTGGGAGGTTCTTATGATGGATCATAATCAGGTGACCATTTTAAGATTTTCATTTTTTGTTCCAGCAATTATGACGGATTGCTTTGCAAAAATTCTGGCATAGTCCTCCTGTCTATCATCCAACAGCCCTAGCTTCCATTCTGAAATCTTCAGGGATTCAAAGTATTTTCTGACTAGTTCCATCTTTGGATGTGCCAAGCTGAATTTACCAATTAGAGTGAACTGAACCTCCAAGTTTAAGTCAGCAAGCTCATTTTCAGAAAAAAAGGCAGCAGGTTCCCCATCTTTAATACCCAAAGGGTGAATGCAGGCTGCAGATCCTCTTCCAACAACAGTGTTATGAAAGTGCTGAGGGAAGACAAGTAAATCAGGATCCAGAAAAGGGGAGGGGGGTTACCCACCACTCCAGCATAGGTGGCTTTGGTCCATTGTAGGTTTGTTTCAAAATCAATAGGGGTGTTCATGATTCATCAGACCAGGACCCCAAAACAGGATCCAAACCAAAACAAAAAACCAGCAAGGGAGGTAAAGAAAAGCAGACAGCTGCTACCCAAGCAATAGAACTTCCCAAAGGCAGCAAACCACAACTTTCAAGCAAGTGAAAAGTTCACCAAGGAAAGACAACAGAAGAAGCAGAGGAGCTTGTACTGCCCAATGAAACAGTAAAGCAGCAAGAAACCTCACTCAGCAAGTCCACCAAGAATAAAACAGAAAGTTCCAACACAGCAAAAAAGCTTCTTCAAGAACCAGCCAACACCAAGAACAAGCTTCCCAGCAACACCAGTCAGCTCCATTACTGTAAAAACCCTAGCAGAGCTCTGCTAGGTCCAGCCACCACCTCCATATATATATATATATATACACATATACACAAGAGATTGCACATCTTTCTCTCACACACTGAGAAAAAAGTGTGTGTATATATATATATATATATATATATATATATATAATTACAATATAATTCCAAAAACCCCAGCAGGCTGACAACAACAGAAACATCAACTTAGCAAATGTGTAGGAATGACAGGAGTCCAAATATCAATGAGGAAGATCCAGGCATCAGGTCTACAATCTAAGGTAAGGTATATGAAGTTTATCTCCTTGTAATAAAAGTTGAAGGGGGAGGGGATGGGAAGTAGAGACCTCACCATGATTTGAATTAGAACCCTCCAATGCCAGAAAATTTGCAGCCTTGTTGGCTTCCCCATAAACAAAGGAGATTTGTAGCTTAATTTCACTGATAATCTTCTTTATCTTGTGCATCCACTGAATAATGTTCCATGGGGGGGACAGGTTTTTAGAGATCAGATCCACCAGTAGGGAAGAGTCCACTTCAGCAATAATCCAATTCCACTGAATTTCCATGGCAAATTTGATTGCCCAGTAAAGAGCAATAGCTTTAGTTTCCAGGGAATCAACAGCAATGTAGGGGGCCTTGAAATAAAGCAAGGCTTTGCCAGTGTGGTCTCTAAATATCACTCCAATTCCTGCTTTCTTGTTGGTGAAACTTCCATCAGTGTTTATTTAGATGAAAGGATAAGGGGGCTTCTCCCATCTAACATTTATAACTTTAAGCTCTTTCAGTTCTATATTAGGCAGGTTCTTCAAAATCTTAGGGACTTCTTCCAACTAATCAGCTTTTGAAGGTAGGCCTGACAGTTAGCCACCACGGAGTCAGGGTTAATCCCCATGTCCTCATGCTTTACCTTGTTCCTAGCATTCCACAGAAACCAGACAACAATGAAGGGAAGAGACATAAGGTTTATTTTTTGCCAGTCTTTTAAGTTATCTTTGATGTTTCCCTTGCCAACATTGATCAGGTTGATGTTAAATTTTGATGTTAAATTTTTCCAAACATCCCTAGCAAATCTACAACTGAAGAAAAAGTGGTCACTAGATTCTTGATCATTATTGCAAAGGTGGCATCTTGAGGGGCCTTTCAAACCTTTCAATTTTAGAATGTCATCAGTTGGAATCAAATCATTTAGCACTCTCCAAGAAAATAACAGCATTGAAGGAGTTAACAACTTTTGGCAAGTAAAAATATTCCACTGGCAGTTATACCCTCTGAAAATTCTATTCTGGATATCCTTAGAAAGGCTAGAGCTGGTCCTTTTAATGAGATGAATATGGTCTTTTTTACTTCTATCAAAATGAATTTTAGAAATGTTACCAGCAGAAGATTCCTTCAGAATGGTATTCAAAGCATCCTCAGACCACTCCATTCCACTCCAAAAGTCTTTAACAAGTAGATCTTCCTCTTTATCCTGTTGCAGTGGTTCCAAGTGATCAGTAGGGCACCATTTGTCCTTCCAGAAGTTTATTTCTTCATGACCCAGCTCTCAAATAAGAAACTTTTCAATGTCTTCTCTTCCCTTGAGCATCTGGATCCAGGTCCTAGAGTCTCCAACTTTCTTAGTTACTTCTGGTAACATCTCCAGGGTGAACATTTTTACAGTATTTAGCCATCATAAAGTTAGCCCACAGGCTTTCATTTTGTCTAAATCTGATCCATAGTTTACACATGCTAGTTTGCTGCATATGGTGTAGACCTTTAAAACCCAATACACTAGCTTCATAAGGTTTAACCACTCTTTGCCAACTAGCCCAGATCATTTGTTTCCTATTGCCAACCCAAAGCCAACTGTTGAACATTCTTTCCAGCATCAAGGTGGTGCTTCTTTTCATGTTTGCCACTTGATGGGTGTAGAGAAGGATAGCAGTGAGAATACTCTTGAAAAGGGTGATCCTTCCACCATTGGATAGGTAAGAATTTGACCACCCCTGAAGGGTAGAATTAATTTTATCAATAACCTCATCAAACTAGGTCTGTTTGGTTTTGCCTCTAACAAGTTGAGTGCCCAGATATTTGAATGGCATGCTCATAGTAGAGAAACTAGTGAATTCAGTCAACCACTGTCTGATAGAAACTGGAACTCTCTTGCTGGTAAGGATCTAGCATTTATCTTTATTTACTTTGAGACCAGATACCTTTTGAAACTTATTCAAGCATTCATCAAGGTGTCTAGTTGCAGCCTTTGTTGCCCTTGTGAAAATAAGGATATCATCAGCATAAATGAGATGACTTATGTCCAACTTAGCTTTATTGTGATAACATTGTAGCATTTCTTATTCTTCTGGCTATCAATGAGTCTTGATAAGTAATCCAACACCAGGATGAAAATAGTAGGGGAAAGAGGATCTCCTTGCTTGAGCCCTCTAGTAACTTTAGAGAACCCATGAGCTTTTCCATTTATGAAAACAGAATTGGCATTGGCCTCAAGCCATCTTTTTATGGTCTGGCAGAACTCCCTAGAGAACCCTCTAGCCTCCAAACATTCCATAATAAAATCCCAATTTACGATATTATAAGCCTTCTTCAGATCCAGCTTGTAGATCACATTTCCACCTCTGCAAGGTTTCTCCAAGACTTGTAAGAGCTCTTGAGCAAGTAAAATGTGCTCTCATATACTTATTCCTTTCACAAAAGCAGCTTGGTTAATACTTATCAACTTGGGTAGAGCTGGCTAAAGTCTGTTCACCAGGATTTTTCTTACCATCTTGCTGATTACATTGGTGAGGCTCAAGGTTTTGAACTTACTCCAGTAGTTTTTAATTGAAGTCTTAGGAATAAAAGCAATAGATGAATCACAGAAATATATGGGGAAAGGATGACCTTTGAATAACTATTGGATAGCTTGAATAACCTCCAACTTAATTACATTTTTGTAGAAATTAGCAGTGAAGCCATCAGGACCAGTAGATTTCCTACTATCTATGGAATTTAAAGCTCTTTGAATCTTCCCCTCAGGAATGTCAGTCAGATTAAGATGAGCAGTGTACTTTTTGCTTTCAGAGAACAAAGTACTGTCAATCTAGCCTCTATCAGTGTTGTGTTCAGTCATGAGGTTTTGGCAGTAATTGACAGCACTTTCAGCAATCTCCTCCTCCTTCCTAATCCAATTCCCCTTCTGATCTTTAATGCAATTGATAGTGTTCCATTTTCTCTGGTACTTAATATAGGCATGATAAAATTTGGTATTTCTATCCCCTTTAGTAAATTTTATCTTGGCAGCCTTTTGCCTAAGGAAATGGTCTTGCCAGTTTACAGCAGTAAGCACTCTTTCATTGGCCTCTAAAAGAGCAGTTTCATCAGTCTTCCCCTTGTTGTGCTCCTCCTCCAGGACAAGCAGCTCGTTTTCAGCCTTCTTCACCACCTTCAGTAAATCACCAAAAGTGTCCCAAATCCAATGTTTGACAGCTTTCCCCACCTTTTTTGCTTTTGCCACAGATTAATGAATGGGTCAGGGTGAGAAACTGTCTTCCAATGATCTTTAAAAATCTGCAAGAAATCCTTATGTTGAGACCAAACAATCAAGTATGTAAAGGCACTCTTCTTACAACTATTATTAGGACCAATGGTGATCAACAAAGGCCTGTGATCACAACCAGCAAGACTAAAGTGAGTTATAGTAGTCTGCAAGAAGTTTTGAATCCAGTGGTCGTTGGCAAAGACTCTATCCAGTCTTTCCCACATATTTTCCCTTCTCCACGTGAAGGCAGGGCCAGTAAATCCAAGATCAAACAAACCAATTTTTTGAATGTTGTCATTGAAATGGGATATAGTGACAGAATTGCCCTTCTTTTAGCAGGAGAAGAAATGCAATTAAAATCCCCTCCCACACCCCTCCCACAATCCAAGCTTTGTCAATGGAGACTTGTATGTTTTAGAGAGTCTCCCACAGCTCAATTCTTGCAGTTTTGGAGGTTCCAGCATAAACAAAGGAAGCAAAACCATCCATGCCATCAGTACTGATACTCATATGTTGGATTTGATGGTGGTTAACTAAAATAGAGCACTTCATTTCTTTCCTGCAGAAAAACCAAATTTTGTTGTTAAGGTTAGTGATAAGGTTGAAGCTAGGGAAAGCTTTAGCGATATTCTTAGTTTTGATTTGAACCATTGGTTCCAAAATTTCCAAACACCAAAATTTATGTTTTTTGTTAAGATATTATAGTCTCTTTAGAGTTAAGGGGTGGGCAATCCCCCATATGTTCCAACATAGCATATTTATCATGGGGAGGGGGCATGGATGGGAGGTTGAGATCTAGATCTTGTTCTCCCCCTTGGTTTAGTGATACTTCCTCTCCTTTGGGTGCTAGGATTTTTATTGGTTGATAATTCCTCTTCATTTCCCTTTTTCAGATCTTCTAGTTTGGTATTTCTTTTCTTTCTTGTTTTTTGGGTCTGCCATTCTGATTCCAATTCTTTATTCAATTCTGAAACCACATCTTCAATAAGGGAAACCACCTCCTCTCTATCCACTAGATCCCTAGTAGTTCTATGAGCCTCAATAGGGTCCCTTGAGTAGAGTTGAACTGTGAGGTTTCCACTTCCAGTTCTACCTGTCTCCAAAGCCACTCCAGCTGTGTCTCTCTTCTTAGCTAAAGGAGTCCTAACCTGCTGGGTCTTGGGAGAGATTTGATCAGTATGAGGAGTGTTTATTTCTGCTGTTCCTGTCACCTTAGAGATCTGATGATGAGTTTCTTTGTTGCTTTCTCTTAGGAGATTAGTATTTTCAGTGTTCATTTCCAGCTGTGGGTGGGTTAATTGTCTTCTATTTGGAGGATTTAGCCTGTAGCATTTCTCCCTAGTATGACCAAACATTTTACAATGTTGACAGTAGACAATGTTGACAGTAGTAGCGTATTTGCTCCATGACAACTTCTTGCTAATAACCTTTCAAGGAGTCTCCAATCCAAATCTTCTTAACTTCAAGTAGAGTCACATCCCTCTCCACAAAAATTTTAGCAATTGCTGACCTAGATTTGTTGTAGGTAGCAGCATCCACCTTTAATGGTGTGCCTAAGGTGCTACCAATATTAAATAATGCATTTATTTTGAATAGATCTAATGGTAATTTTGGTAGCTTGAACCAAATAGACGCTGTAGGAGGTTCTTGAGAAGGATCATAATCATGAGTCCATTTTAAGATTTTCATTTCAACACCAGCAATGATAATTGATTTTTTGGCAAATATTCTTGCATAGTCTTCTTCCTTTGTCAGCTCGATTAGAAGGTGCCTGCCATCCAGTAATCCAAGCTTCCAGTCAGAAATATTCAGAGATTCAAAGCAATTCCTCACTAGGTCCATTTTTGGGTGACCTAGGCTAAATTTTCCAATCAGTGTGAACTGGACTTTCATGTTTAGTTCTAAAAGATCTTGTTCTCAGAAGATGGCAGCTGGTTCCCCATCCTTTAAACCCACAGGATGGATGCATAGGGCAGAACCCCTGCCAGCAGCAGTTTTGTGAAACTCTTGTGCGAAAACTAGAAGATATGGGTCTACCAAAGTAGAAGAGGGTTTTCCTACTATCCCAGCATAGGTAGCTTTCGTCCATTATATGTTTGTATCAAAATCAATAGCAGTAGCCATAACTGTCAACAACGGGACCCCCAAGAGATCTCAATAAGTAGAGGAAGGAAGATATGGTAAAGAAAAACTACTAAGCTTTTCAGTAGCAATGGAACAATAACAGCAACACTACTCCAGCAAAGCCAAGCAACTTGGAAAGCCAAAACACGCTCTTGAAAAAGATGCAAGCTTCTGCCCACTTCTTTCCACAACTCCATAGGAAGGCCAGAGGGAAAAACCAAAGAAGCTAATCCTAAATCCAATGTAACAGTAACCTTACCAGAAAACACTTGGCCCTAAACCAAGGTTCCCTTCTTATCTCCACCACCAATGTCTTGAATCTACTTCCTTGTAGATCTAAGAACCACCACCAGCAGCGCCGCCAGCAGGAACCCATAAGCTCGTAAACCCTAGCAGAGCCACTCCACACCCTACCATTTTATATATATATATATATATATATATTTATGCATTCGGTCAAAATCTATAATTTGGTTAAGAAATGAAAATTCACGTAAATATTTGCATAATCATAAGGGCTTAATGAGAAAAAATAAGATCCTGATTTTGCAATGATTCATGTTGGACCTAAATAGTTTCATCATGTTCCAACCTGCACTTTAATGGTGAATATCAAATAAGTACAGACTAAATTAATGAGGTGGAACTAAGAATAAAGGAAAGAATCTACATAAAAATTAACTGACTTTTAATTGCATTCCTTTAGCTCATGTGAGCCAAATAAATTTAAATGCATCTTATACATCCAGTTAGAGATATATCAATAAATGGTTATTTAGTTCGTCAAT